CCTTCCGAGGAGTGGCTGGTGGGTTTGAACCGCCAGCCTTCTGGTTAGCAGTCAAGTGCTTTAGCCACTATGCTACCAGAGCTCCTGAACAATGGTTTAGCTTAACCAATAAATAATGTCTGCCTTGAGCATTGTGCTCTTTTAAGAACTATCTACACGGGATCAAATTGACAACAGCAACTCAGACAGATTAGATAGGAACCTTAGGGGGCAGTGAGTTTATGTTAATGGGAGTGGAACAATTCAGAAAAGGAGGGTGTTCTGGTTACCTAGTGCCAGACTGACAAGAATATACAACAAATAGGATGGCTTTAACAAACAGGAGTTTATTGTTACGGTTTTGGAGGTTAGAAGTCCAAGTTCCAGGTGGCAGGCTCTTGGGGCTGAGTGAAAGCCCCTCAACCTTAGGCTTCCGCTCTGCCCCTTGCTCCCGGCCCACTGAAGCTAAGGGCATCTCTCCACTCAGGCAGCTGCTAGCTGCTGAGGCTGACAAACCCAAGGTCGATAAGTGAAAAGGCACAGTCCAGATATTACCAAACCACACGGCAGGCCATCGATTCAAGTCCATTGAAACTCCTAAGATTGGCAAAGCATGGCAGGCTGTTGAACAACAATACGGCTACATGCCATCAGCTGGAGACCTTCCTCAAAGTTGCTTCTTACGCACTAGAAGCAGCCCACATCCCTAAAACAGCTACTCAGCCGTTCCTGTAGATTTCACCATGGAGATAACTACCAGTCTTACCATGGAAAATAACTACATCCAGCTGCCCAGCCACTCAACCAGGCCCAGCCAAGTTGACATACAACCTTAGCCACCACAAAACCAAAAAAACCAAACTCACTACCATAGAGTTGATTCAACTCATATTGATCCCTCCTTGGGTTTCCGAGGCTGTATCTCTATGGAAGTAGATTGCCTGATCTTCCTTCCGAGGAGTGGCCAGTAGGTTTGAACTGCCGCCTTCTGGTTAGCAGTCAAATGCCTTAGGTATCAATATCACCAAATTTTTCATGTAAAAATTGTTGAATTGGTGTATATTTTGCTGTGTTTATTCTCAACAATAACAACAAAATAAATAAAAATTAGAAAAAAAATATTGTCTGTGGGCCAGAAACAGAGCATAAAGTGTTTACCATTGAGATGAGTACAGGGATTGTGAGTAAGCATTTAGAAACTTTTATAGCCATTTGAAATAGTAATTTTATGTATGTTCATTCTATAATTAAGAATAAAGCTTATATTCTGTTAAAAAAAAAAGACTTCAGGAAATATTTTTGGTTTAATGTTTAAAGGTTATCTCGGGGCAGTAGTTTTTGGGGTTTATCCAGCCTCCATGGCTCCAGACAGTCTGGATTCCGTGAGAATTTTAAATACACTACTGTCCAGTTTTACTCTCAGGATTACAGTAAGAAGTGATCTTCAGCCATTTTCCCTTCTTCTACCCAGTATCAGGATACTATTTTGGGGCAGCAACCTCTTCTAAGTAGCAGAGCTGTTGGCCAGGTTTGTCCTGTTTCCTCATATGTCTTACGTGGTGTTCCTATCCACAACCACTGTTTGGGAATAAAAGGATTGTATACTTAACTTTGGGGAGAGTGATGTGACTTGTTTTGGAGGAGATAAGATTTTTTTTTTCAACCCCAACTCCCTCATTCCATTTTTCATGACAAAGAAGAGACTTAGGTTGTCATAAAATGCCCACACTGCTGTCTTCTGACTGTTATTCAAGGTGAATTTGAAAGACTTAATCTCTTAGACGTGCACAACAAACTGCTTCTTTGGAATTCAAGCAAGAATTTCTTCTCACTGGTCAACATGCCCTCAATTAAGGGAAGGAGCAATGTGAAACAACATAATTTGGTCCATAAAAGCCATGTGAATCAGCTACTTAAGGGGCGGGTGCTATGGAAACAAACAGAGAGAGAGAGAGACCAAAGCAGGCAGGCTAATTAGAGCTAGAGTGGAGATGTACAAGGCAGAAAAGGGTACTTTAAGACTAGGACAGGCATATTTTCTCCCACGTATCCTCACCAGTGTCAGTGACTTCATTTCCTGGGAATGCAAGAAGTTTGGAGAAAAGGGTGTGGAGCAGCTTCTGACCTGAAAAACCTGCTGTCCTTACCCGAGGACAAGAGACTAGTGATGCATCATGCAAATGAGCCCTTTGAACCTCCTTTCTGTTCCATAGAATCTTCCAGATATACAGGAGAAGAAGGGATTGTGGAATATGGTGGTGGAGCAGAGGAAGCATTCTCCCTTTCCATTTTGAAAACACTTCTTTAACCTACTGTTCTCTTTTCACAGGGTACTTGTGTAGGAGGAAGTTTTGCTGAGTGGGAGAGGAGGCAGAGATGGGGCCAGCAAATGGGAAAGGGGTATTGGAAAAGGAACCAATAAGTTTTGGGAAAAGAACTAAGCCATTTTAACAACAGCTGAGAGATTATTTTCAAATCAGCAGGAATTTGGTGGGCTAAGCATAGGCAAGATAGCATGTTAGAGAAATGTGTTAAATAAACTAATGGTTGTCAATGTCATTCACTCCACAAATACTTTAAGGATTATGGGCATAGAAGTATGAGGCACTGTGGGAGAAAGAAATAATAGCTAATATTTATGAGCAATTACTATATGCCTGGTATAGTACTAGGTGCTTCATATGCATTATCTCATTTAATCCTGAAAACAACTCTTATGAGGTAGATAACTGTTATTATCACCCATTCTACACATGAGGATTCTAAGG